ATAAATGTAAATATTAATTTCTATCACCCCCCCAAAAAAATTATATATACAGTATATATATATATATATATATATATATATTGACTCCAGGCTTTTAAATGGTATAGTGTATAATGTTACAAAAGCTTTTTATTTCAGATAAATGCTGCTCTTTGGATCTTTCTATTCATCAAAGAATCCTGAAAAAAATGTACTCAACTGTTTTAAATATTGATGATGATGATGATGATGATGATAATAATAATAATAATAATAAAATGTTTTTTGAACAGAAGAAATCTCTGAAGGATCATGTGACACTGAAGACTGGAGTAATGATGCTGAAAATTTTGCCTTGATCACAGGAATAAATTACATTTTAATATATATTCAAATAGAAGGCAGTTATTTTAAATAGTAAAAATATTTCACAATATTACTGCTTTTTCTGTATTGTGGATCAAATAAATGCAGGCTTGGTGAGCAGAAGATAATTCTTTAAAAAACATTAAAAATCTTACTGTTCAATTACTGTATGACATTTTCTTTCTTGCACAATTTTTTAACATTTAAAGCAGTTTTCAATGTGCAGTTTGAATCTGGACTTTTAAGGTGAGCATTCAGTCTTACAATAGGTAGATTGATCTTGAGGTCGTATCTTTCCAATGTTTTGCTTATTGGCTTTGAAAATATAAATATTATCAATATCACCTTAAATTTCCATTTTGTGCATCCCTATTTCTATTTCTGTGGCCTTGTACTGCTTTGAAATGTCATTTGTTGTTCCAAAAACATACCTTCATAACTGTACCTTAAACATGAATTATGTTCTGAGATTGTGTCACATCATGCAGCCATTTGGAGTTCAGTGTGGACAGACAAATTGCTGGTACTGGTCATTGTAATAGCATAGCTAGTAAATTTTGATGGATTTATACACATGCAAAATGCATGGTAATTATATGTGGTGGAAATAAAATACTGTCATTGAGGAATGAAAGAAATGAGAGTGTTGCAATAACAATAATTTGACTTAATTCGAAAAATTTGTGACTTAATTAGACAAAAATGTTGGAAGAGATTGAAGTGCGCGTGGTTGACAGAATGTGGGAGTCACACATTTGTAGATGGAGAGGTTGATAAAATCCAAGGGTCAGAGGAAACATCATTTCACTTGAGTCCTCAGTGAGGTCTGTGACACAGGTGTAGAGAAGCTGGAAGATAGTTTAACTTAAAGGTGGACCTGATGTTGAAGAGGTTACTATGATTGACAGGAACCGATGTGGAGGCAGCGACAGACAAATTCACTTATTTCAGCTTTTACGAGACCTCTGCAAACACAGGTCATATGTTACAGGAACAGATGGAGACAACAAACTACAGAGAACGGACAATGCTTAGTAACCATCACACACTGTGTTTGCATTTTATTTGCTTTGAGATCAATGGTGGCGTTTTACCGTAGATAGCATCCGGTTCACTGGGAAGCTGTGTGACTGAATTTACTCCTAACGGAAAAAAACTTCTCAAAACAGGAGGAAGCAAATCGATTCATTTATGTCCAGTGGGCTTATTTGCTAAGTCATTTTGTGGGCCCATTTCCATCACCCTAATGGTTACTTTGGGAACAGTAATTAAGCAAGTAGTGCTAACATTGAGCCACCTGTCCCTTGTCTTTTTCTTACCCTGTCTGACTGGCCGCTCTGCCTCTTTCGTACACATTTTGTGTTTTGACTTTAACTAAACATTACACAAAAGTTTGGGGTTGGTAGGATGTTTCAGGGCTTTGGAAAAAATATCATATGCTCACCAAGGCTGCATATATTTAATAACAAAATACAGTAAAACCAGTAATATTTGTTTCTAATTTATTATATTTTAAAATGTAATTTGTTTCTGTAATGGCAAAGCTGAATTTTCAGCATCATTACTCCAGCCTTTAGTGTCCTTCAGAAATCATTATAATATGCTGATTTTCTGCTCAAGAAACATTTGTTGTTATTATTAATATTGAAAACAGCTGTGCTGCTTAATATTTTTGTGAAAAACATTTTTACTGGATTCTTTGAAAGGGGAAAAGAACAGCATGTACTTGAAATAGAAATATTTTGTATGTGTCTTCACTATCACTTTTAATAAATTTAAAGCATCCTTGCTGATTAAAAGTATTTGTTTCTTTTAAAAAAGAAAGCTTTAGAATGGTAGCATACACTGGTCTTGGATTACAGCATATCATAACCTGAATTTCAAAAACAAAACAATAACACAGATAAGAGTGTACATCATGGGGATGGACTACGACACGCTGCTAGGATAACGTTTGGTGTGTGGTGGTGTGTGGCCAACTGTTGGCTTGGTGCAGCAACCATAAGAGTGGAACGGATTTGAGATGTGCCATATTGCCATTCCAAGCCAGGATAAAAGAGAAACCACGGGCTGTCCATGGCAAGCTAGCATGGTCCGTTAGAGACATGTTTTTCTCCTTAGCTTTGGATGGGAAGTGAGTCATTGCTGCTAATACTGAATGAAAACGCTGCTATGTAATTTCAGCGCTTTTGGGACTTGAAGGTTGGGTGCTTCCACAGACCCAGCAAGAGATGTGTGCGGCGGGAAAGGTTTGGCAGGCGTGAGGTAAAGCAGCCTGGTGCAGTGTGGCCCCTGGTTTGGGAAGGAGAAAGAGAGAGAGAGAGAGAGCGAGCGAGCAAAAGAGAGAAAGAGGCTGGCTGTGGTCCGCTGGCGCCACAGACCCCTGAGCTGGGGAGAATGCGGGGGCTGCGCTCCTGCCTTTGAAGCTTTACCTCCCACTAATTCTGGCCTTCCAATTTCCACACACTGCGTAGATCCCCTCCACCGCCCCCTATCCTCTCCTCTCTCCCTCCCTGTCCCTTTGTTTCCCTTATAAGGACTGGCCCGGCCATTTCCTCAGATTTTCTCAGTGGGGTTGTATGTGTGGGTGTTTGTGGATGTCTCTGTTGTGGACTGGGGGCAGCCAATAAAAAACAAGAGTTGAGTTTTTGTGTCATGAGGTAAAATTCTGTGTCCGGTCGTTCAGCGGCATTCTGTCGTGTCTCATATTTCACTGCGTGATTGACAGCGGGTCTCTTCGGATTATGTTACGAAACAGGCGCCTTTTCAAGTTTGCTAATGTGATTTTAAAAGTACATTTCTCAGAGAGTTTAAACATTCTAATAGATAAAGTGTTAATAAATTACACAGTGCCATATTAAACTACCGTTAATACATTTGAATAATTCTGGGATAAAACACTCTAGGATATAATTAGGCCCTTGGGGAGGTAACAGGGTTGACAGTTTTTTTTTTTTTTTGGACATTACAAGCCTTGCACTCAAGGTCATGAAACTACATATGTGCTTCTTAGAACTCAATTTTGATAATTCTACAGACATTCACTTGTCAGTTATCAACTATTTACTATTAAAAAACATGGTAGCATGGTTGACATTTTAAAATTGGGGACTATTCTTAAAAGTATAATGATAAAAAGGAGAACACATTAAGTGTCCTTGGAAAGTTAACTTCTTGAAAATATGATGTCTTATAAGAAAGTTTTTTGGATTTATGAAGTCATTAGTTTAGGCACAAAACATGATGGTAACAGGGCTGACATATAACGTGGGTTCTAAAACTAAAATCTAAATACTGTATACAGAGAGCAGATTAAAACAAAATAGCTTTCATTTCCATCTATTTTGTTTGATCAAAATGTGGATATTTGCTAAAACAACAAGAAGTGGAAAGAAAAACCACACAAAAAATGTTCTGTTTAGAGACATATCTATATTAGCACATAGTAAAAGATGGCATACCCTGTTCATTGTTGAAGTCATTCAACAATAGATAGCTGATGCATCATTTACACAAATCGCACCTGTTTTGTAGAATGACCTCTTTACATCTTTATAACAAGCACAGCAGCTATATGTTATTATAGATTATCAAGGGTATCATAACATTCAGATTCAAAATAAAGTGGCAGTGAAATATGTAGCAAAAGTATACATATGGGAGAGTAATGCTCTGCACCCTTCAGAGTACTTACTTCATGTGCTCTGCCCTTCAAAGTGAGTAGTACATTGTTTCAAAGAGAATTCTTCCTGTACTCTCACTGTTACTGCAGTGAATAAATGAATGAAATAACAGACAATTGATTGGGTTTATGCTTGCACAGGTAATATCACACTTTTAAGAGGGATTGACTTCATTGAGAAGTTGACTGAAGTTGCCTGGGACTTTGATTTATTCACACTAAAATTGATTTTATTCATTCTCTATGATACACACGCTATCTTGATAAAGAGAAGTTAATTGGTTCCTTCAGTCAAGCTTACTGTACAGTATGTTGTACTGTCTGCTTTACCTTGAGTGAAGCAACTCTGTCTCATCTTTTACAGAAACAAAAAGTCATGCTTTTCTGAAAAGTAAACCAATTTGCTGTGGAAAATTAATAATTGTGAAATAATGTTTTCATGGTTTATTTTTTTGCCATTTTTTTTATTATTCAAGGTGCTTTTTGTAACAGCATCTGGCTGTGCTACTCTTCATGCACATCTCATTTGCCCATCATGCTTTACTCTGTCTACATAGTGTTTGAAGATAAATGTACATATTGATTTCCCAGGCACAGTAGGGGCATCGTACAGCACTCAATAAAATGTTGGAGCCATGCGAAAGAAAGGCCCAAATCGCCGCTCACTGTTCTCAGTTTTTTTGTTGTCAAGGTCTCTTTTAAGAATCAGAATGCTTTCAACATCTTTCCTTCTCTCCCTCTCTTTCTGTCTTTGTGTCTTAGTTTACAGGTTGCCGGCGGAAAGATGTGGATGAGGGCTGAAGTCTAGAGTCAAGGGCATCGGGGTCTGCCTGCCACTGGCCGGCCGTTTTGCCCATTAAGGGGAGGCTCCACCCTTACCTGGGCACTGAGCGGATTGCGAGCGCTGCCTGGCTCCTCCCTCGCCAGCCCCCGTCCCCTCCCCAACCCCGCCCCCCCTTCCCACGCTCACACACCGGTGGCCGACACGGTGGGGGGTCACACAGACTTCCCGTACAGTGTGGGCAGCGGCGGCTTCCCCTTCAACCCGGGGTTGTTCATCATGACGCCTGCCGGAGTCTTCCTCGCCGACAGCGCACTGCACATGGCCGGCTTGACGGAGTACCCAGTGCAAAGTGAGCTGGCCTCCGCCATTAGCTCCGGGAAGAAGAAAAGGAAACGCTGCGGGATGTGCCCACCTTGCCGGCGCAGGATTAACTGCGAGCAGTGCAGCAGTTGCCGGAACCGGAAGACGGGCCACCAGATCTGCAAGTTCCGCAAGTGTGAGGAGCTCAAGAAGAAACCGTCTGCTGCACTGGAGGTAAACGATACTGAGACTCTGTGAACTTACTAAGTTGCATTTGTTCGCTAATGTTACAGACAGAATGTTTTGTGGCCAGAAAGCGTAATAACCTTCCTTGCTTCTAATTTGGGTGAACTTTGTACACGGTGGCGGTGTCTGCTGAGGGTTAGGTTGGGAGATGAGGCTTTGGGGTGACAGGTGGCACTGACAGTAGCGGGGCAGGGAGATACGGCCAGACATGCACCATGGGGTTTGTTCTAATCTGCCCCCCACTGCGGCATCACGTCACTCTTCCCACATCCTGCCTCCCTGACACTACTAGGACACTCCTCAGAGACATAACGCCCTCCGGTATGGCCGCTTTTATAGGTCCCTGCATTCATTAGTTCAGTTTTGAGATGGAATGGTGGTTTGAGAGATGCTGCTTTTGTTAAGATCAAGAATCGTATCGAGGTGGTATGTTTAAGGATGTAGCGTGGGCATGATGTGAACGTATATGTGAATGTGTTTTTGTGTTTTTATGTACGACGTAATCCATCTGGCCACAGGGCTGTCATCTGGAGCACCAGGTGTCAGTGACGAACAGCCCACCCCTCCTCTCTCTCATCAGTGGGGGCTGATGGTCCTACAAACTTCTTGCTGATGTCAACCCGAGTTGTTCGGATTGTACAAATTTGAATAGTGTTCGAATTGTGCTGGATATATTTCACATATTATTTATTTTAAAGTCATCCTGAAATCAGAATTAACCCCATTTGCTTAATTCACATTCCTGGTCTTATTGTAAATTATCAGTGCATGCTATTTCATAGAAAAAAATTGAAGAATTTACTATAAGGTTCAGTTTGTCAACATTATTTAATGCATTTGGTAATGAACTACAACAATTTTACAGCACTTAGTAATCTAGTTTAATGTCGATTCGTGAAAATATTATTGTTTATTGTTATTAATGTTTGTATATGTTAAAGATGCATCAGTATATGTAGAAATTTACATTAGCCTAGATTAATAAATGCTGTAGAAGTATTCAGATTGTTAGTTCATATTCAATTGCATAATTTTTTAACGTTAACTTACTGAACCTCATTGCAAATGTTTTCATGTTTGTCTTTATACTCTTTAATCAATAATTTGCTCTTTCACATAGTCATAGTTTTCACATAGTTAACATAATGTTAACCAACCACCACATACACTACCATTCAAAAGTTTGGGGTCAGTAACATTTTGTCGTATTTTGAAAGAAGCACATATTTGATCAAAAATACAGTAAAAATCGTAATATTGCAAAAAAATATTAGTAGTTTAATATAACTGTTTTCTATTTGAAAATTGAAAAACTGTAATTCATTCCTGTGATGGCAAAACTGAATTTTCAGCATTCAGGCATTACTCCAGTCACAGTGTTCAGTGTCACATGATCCTTTAAACATCATTCTAATATGCTGATTTGCTGCTTAAGAAACATTTATTATTATCCATGTTTAAGTTGTGCTACATAATATTTTTTGTGAAAACCTTTGTGTAGAATACAGTTTTTTCATGATTTAAATTTTTTTTTAATGAATAGAAAATTCAAAAGAATAGCATTTATTTGAAATAGATATCTACATTCTAAAATATATTCTAACAGAAAACAGCCCTTTTAAACGGTAATAATATTTCACAATATTACTGTTTTTACTGCATTTTGATTAAATAAATACAGGCTTGGTGAGCATAAGAGACTTCTTTCAAAAACATGAAAAAAGACAGGTAGTGTAATTAATAAAAGATTTCCACAAACAAAGCAAATCTGGTGCAAATAAAAAGGTCAAATATTGTACATCCTGAAATATATATAGTTTCAATTTAATTAGAGTTTGACATGAATTGATCTGTTGTGACTCTTGCTTGTCTATCAGAACTGAAATAGAGTTACAGCCTGTTCATTTGTGTCTCCAGTTATTATATATAGTTTTTTCTTTTCACACTCCTCATGTTTGATGTTTCTGTGCCTAATATGTATTAGGCTCTTTTTTAGATAAGAAAGGGACAAAGGATTAAATTAGTTTGAAGGTACTCATGTTTCCTTTCAACTGACATCTGCTATATTCACAGGGATTTTAGATTTGTCCATTTGATGTCTTCCACATAAATAAAACCTTTAAATCAATTTATTATTATTTTTTTGGTTGTTGTTTTGTTTGCTGATTACAGACTCATTGACACACCATCCGTAAGAATAATAATGGCAGGGTGGTGCTGTGTCACTAACGTTTCAGTCATTAAAAATGGTTGAATAATTCCATGCCACGTCTGCTCCCCCAGCTGTCCAGTCAGTGTGGAGTCAAACAAGGTCACGTCTGATGGCGTCTCGGGGAGCCCCTGTGATTAAAATGTGTCTAAAACATAAAGCGCTGCCGGTTTATGGTTTCTTAAATAGATGTTAATTCGAGTGCCTATCATGATGGGAATAGTTTTGCACTAAGCGTCTGAGAAGCACCTGCTGTTTTATTGCTACTAGACAGAGTTGAAACAGCGCAGTGGAAACCAAACAGAGCACAACACATCAATTCATATTTCTTTTTCGAATTTGTGAATACAAGTTAAATGGATAGATGTTGCATATTGTTGGCTACAGATTAATGCCACATTAAAGTCTGATTGTTTAGGTTTTGTAGACGAGGTCATCATACTGTATATAATACATATTGTAATACAGTAACATTGATTGATATTTCTCTTTTGAGAGTGAAGTTGTTAGTTACTAGATGTTGTGCTAAAAATTACCCAACACTAGAGCCTTTTGGTTAGTTTTGTTTGCTAAATAAATAGAAAAGGGTATTCAATTATTTATTATTTTTTGCAATTTTCTGTACACTTTTGTAAAACATACAAAGTAATCTAAAAATCAGGACTCCAGTTAACCAGTGTGATTTGGTTGTATTGGCACTGCTTTTAACAGAATTGATACTTTATACTAAAATGGCAATTGAGTTGACATTTACACTTCTGCATACCCAGCAAAAACTTTGTGACCTGGATCTTGGCTTGCATGAAGCTTTTTGGTTACCACCAAAACACTCTAGCTGGTTAAGTAGGTTAAGCAACCTGGTGGGGACACCAGTACACCAGCACTGCATGGTGATCACCAAAATACAAGTATGTTGTGCTTTAAATGCTTGTGAACTGTTGTCCCCACCAGATTTATTAACTAGCTTAACCAGCAGATTTACCTCATCAGTCAGTGTCACACAGTCCGACTTTAACAATACAGTTTTGCCATTTTAACTATTTAGAATTTCATTGTCTTATTCATGGTCCTGAGATGCTATCTATCAGCATGTGGGTCTTAACTAACTTAACCTGAAAGACTAACTTGGTCAGCTGGCTTTATCAGTAAGGTTTTGCTGTTTAAACCTCTTATCATCTGATCAACATTAATTACAAAATAGAACCAACCTGTTACCATGGGAGTCTTAATTAGCAAGATTAACTTTGTCATGCAGGCCGACCAGTTTCACCAGTAAAGTTTTGTCAATTAGGCCACTTAGCATCTCATCACCATTAATTAGAACATGACATCATATTCATTAGCATGGAATTCTTAACCAACTTGACCAGCAAGACTAACTTGGTCAACCAGCATCATGTAGACCGACTAGTTTCACTAGTAATGTTTTGCTATTTAGACCACATAACATCTAATCACCATTAATTCGAACATGGAATCCTATCCACAATCAACAGATTCATAACTAGCTTAATCAACAAGACTAGTTTGGTCCACCAATTTCATTCAGACTGATTAGTTTGACCAGTAAAGTTTTGCTGTTTTGATCTCTTATCATCTCATAAACATTAATTACAAAATAGAATCAATCTATTACCATGGGGGTCCTAACTAGCTTAACTAGTAAGACTAACTTGGTCAACCAGCTTCTCCCTTACCAAAAAGTAGTATACTTCGAGTTTATTTTATTAAGTATACTTAAGTAAAGTTCAAGTATATTTTTAAGTATACTTTATGTAGCAAGAATACAAATATCAGTGTACTAGTAGTATACTTGTAAGTGTACTATTTCAATACTCCTTGGGACTAAATTGGCCCACTTTCTAGTATATAAAAGTATACTTTTAAGTATACTTTAAGTATAACAGTAGTAAACTTTAAGTACACAACTAGTTTACAACAATATTTTTAGCTTGTACTGCAACTATACTAAAAGTGAACTTATATGAATACTGATAGTTTTCTAATTAAATACTTGTAGTAGCATTTTTAGTACACTTTGAAGTATAGTCTTAGTAAACTACTAGTTTAGTAGTTTTATACTGCAAGTATACTCGTAAGTTTTCTTTAAGTGAACTTTACATCATACTTTAAGTATACTACTATGTCCCTATTTAGGTTTGTATATATTTTGTTATATAAATATCTGAACATACAAAACCAAAAGAAAGAACAGGGTATCTGCTTGTAAACAAAAACATTTTATTCTAGCTTGAATGTGGGTAAGTTTCATAAATAATAAAAAAAATAAATAACATTTTGAACAAAAAACTGAAAAAAAGACTATGAATTGGATTCAGAACGATAATCAAAACGTAGATATTCGATCAACACCCCAAAGCTTGAGACAGTTATTATTACCTCTTCA